CCCTTCCCTTAGTCCTGGGCGGGAATATTGGGGCGTCCGGGCCCCGGAGCGGGAGGAAGGGCGCGCCAGTCCCTCCCTGTGGGCTGTGAGGGCCGCCTGTCCTTGGCGACCGTGCGTCTGTGGCCGCAGCCTGTCTCTTGGGGTAGGGAGTCAAAAGACTCCAGCGGGCGAGGTTGCTCCCCTCATCCTGGGCCGAAGCAGGGAGGTGAGGGGCTGGGGATTTGACAAGTGGAGGCGAAATGATCTGCCACCCGAAATCTCACCCAGGCTGTCTGACGCTGCTCTGCTGCAGGAGCACAAAACTCCCTAGTGGGATGTTAGTCGGAGAATAGAGTATTGCCCTCACAGGTGTCGAGTTCAGTGACTTAAGTCAACTAGGGAGGAAGATTCTGACTAATCAATTAACCAGTTAAACATTAGGGTGACCTGACTTAGTAGAGTGCTGGGTGGGCTTGCCTCCAAGACTTGGTCCTCCCAACCCCTATGCTGGGGCTACCTCCAGCTCCTGCCTAGGGCTGGGGCTGTTGCTGGCTCCTGACTACCCTGGGACTGGGGCTAATACCAGCTTCTTCCTCCTCTTCCCGCATGCACACTGGGGCTGCCACAGTGCATGGGGGCCAGGCAGGGTTGGAAGAGCCGTCTGCCCACAGTCTCTGTGAGGCTACTCCTGGGTGCTGATTAACCGGTTACCCATGCATTTTCCCCACTACTAACATCTGTGTGGAAAGTGCTGTTAATCTTAATATTGGGTTTTAATATTTAATCTTGACATTGGGGTTTGTTTTTTAACAAGATTTCTGTTCTGAAAAGATTTTGGAAAGAGCAAAACTAATCTATGTAAGGATAATATCTTCCATCTGTCTCAGTGTATTTCACAAACTATAGCAGCACACTCTTCTGCATATTAAACAAATGTGCCACATTTCTTCTGTTTGTACACCTCAATGTTACACGATAAGCTAGAATGAGAAGAGCCTAGGTTTTAAGTATTTAGTAAATGCTTAAAGTATGCAAACCCAATTAAAAGTAAGTAGAAGTTGTGTATAGTGTTAGTAAGTAATTGAGCTACTGTTGGCGAGAGTGTAATTTTTATTAATATCTTTTGCAGATTGATCAGAATATTTTCATAATCTGTTGAAAATTTCAGAACTGAATTCTGGCTTCACCGTAAATCTTTTCAGTTGCTTATGAAGTTTCTGATATTAAAGCTGCACTACTGAAATGAAGAAAAGGAGAAAGCTCCCTGGAAATCTAAATGAGAAGATACATCTTAGCCATGAGAAAAATATTTCAGATGGGATTTTTGTAGTAGATTCTGACCAAGAACCTGCCACCAAATCTGCAGAAGTACCTGTTGTAGACCAGGTTGAATGTTCCCAAGAACTTCCTCCATCACCAGAAGAAAGGAAACTCTTAAGTTCGCTGCAGTATAATAAAAATCTACTTAAATATTTAAATGATGATAGACAGAAGCAACCATCTTTTTGTGACTTACTCATAATAGTAGAAGGAAAAGAATTTAATGCACATAAAGTTGTTGTAGCTGTTGGCAGTAGTTATTTTCATGCTTGTTTGAGCAAAAACCCAAGTACGGATGTTGTCACACTGGATCATGTAACTCCCTCTGTTTTTCAGCATTTGCTTGAATTTTTGTATACTTCTGAGTTTTTTGTGTATAAAAATGAAATCCCTTCAGTGTTGGAAGCAGCAAAATTTTTAGACATTATAGATGCAGTCAAACTGCTCAATAATGAAAATATCTCCAGCTTACAATCTGAAGTAGTAACTGAAAACCCAATACCAGCTGAAACTGTCAATGAATTGACTGGTAAACTATCAAATAGTAATCAGTGCACTTTTTGTAGTCGAAGCTTCTGTTACAAGAAATCATTAGAAAACCACTTGGCAAAAGCACACAGATCCCTTCCACAGGAAAAAAACCATGGACTAAAAATGGTTGAGAGAGAAGACTTTTCTACCAGAAGATCTACAAGGAACCGTAAATGTCCAGCTAAGTTTGATAACAGTGATAATGAAAGCAGTGATGTATCTGACAGCAACTTAGATAAAGTCTCTTCTGAGAGAGAAACATCTGTTAAAAATGAATTTGAAGATAGTGGAAGTGAGTGCAATGCAGACGAAGAGGGTCAGGAAGAAGAAATATCAGATGAAGATTCTGAGACTGAAGAGCAAAGTAAAAAAGATGCTACTGAAGCGAGTCCTGAGCCAGTTGAGTCTGTAGGAAATATTCCTGAAGGCTTAGCTCCAATTATCATTCAGAGTAGTAGCAAAAAACTGTTGCAGTGTCCCAAGTGTGACAAAACATTTGATAGAACAGGTAAGAGCAATTAAAATTTAGTCTCCTTCTTCACGGCATGATATTTTTAAGTGGAAAGAGTTTTCTGACTTTTATAGAAAATTAGTGTTTGTGTCTGCTAAAATTTAGTATTAAGTGCTAATTCATATAGATCTTGAAAATTATAAATTATCACTGTAGCACTAAAATTAGCAGTGAATTAAAAATGCTATTTTTTTAAAAAAAAATTTGCAAATGATAAATCTTTCTTTTCACTCAGTTTTGGTTCCAATGCTTAGTGTACTGAAGATGCTTGAAGAGAAAGTAGTAGTAACTTAGTAGAGTGTAAGGCATATTGAGATTTTTTTTTTTTTTTTTTTTTACAAACATAGGCTTGACTTTCCGCTGAGCAGTCCAATTTTAGCAGATTAAGGTAGCTGATTTTTTCTCTTGAGGTTATCGTATAGTAAAGGCTATAGTGTATATAAGCATTGTCTCTTCAGCAATATGTAAACATATTGAATGTGGTAATAGCACATTGCTAACTTAACTGTAAACAAGGGTTGCCAGATACTTTCACAAAAAAAACCAAATATGGCAGGGGAAAAAATTGGTTGAGCAACCAAAAAAAGGAGGGAAGACCAAACTTGTTGAGCCCCTCCTCTTCTCCCCCCGCCCCCAAAAAAGAGGTTGCTGTGCCTTTAAATTCCTGTGCTCCCTGCTCCCCCTGCCAGCTTCCCGGGATTGGGGCTGCAGGTGGAAGCCAGCTGTTGCCTTGCGTTGCTGGCTCTGATATAAACCCTGGTTTATTGGTTAACCATTTAAACGATTATACTTTTACATCCTGTGGTGCTGCCTTGGATTCATCCAGCTCCCTGGGTGAAGGGCAGCAGGCAGGAGCAAGTGTGTGCTGATTTCTGAGGAGCTGGCTGCTGCCCTGCCTTGCTATCCCTGTGTCAGAGGCAACACTGCGGGGCAGCAATCGTCTCCCTGGATGCGGATCTGGCAGGCAGCAGCTGGTGTGCCCCCAGAGCTGCCTGCTGCCCCATACTGCAAGTGTATATAGCTGTGTGACAACCGAGATTTTCAGTGGTTACATTGTTACACAATTACTTGTTTTTAACATCCTCAGTATGTGTGTACAAATGTAGTAACTATTTTAAAAGATGTTTTTACATGTCTGCATGTCAGAATAATACTAAACTCAATTCTAGATTTATACTAAGTCTGATGGAGATTTTAACTGGTCTTGCCATTAAGTTTAAATTTGGTTGATCTGAAAACATACACTTTCTTGTGTTGGTCTCTTTACATTTTTACTTACAAGTCATGATGCACTGAGATTTTATTATAAAATTTAATTTTTATATTTTTGAGGGATGTGATACATTAAGATTAGCCTTTACAAAGAGAGGTTAAGTCCTTTAATCACATATTGTATTCTGGCTTAGATGAGAGAAATGTTCCTTGAAGTATCAAGACATTGCTTCAGTCTGTACTCCAAGCTTTCCCACTATCTTTCTAAGCTGACGTTCAACTCTTACCTGTTTTTTCACACAAATGGTCCCACTGACCTCATAAATTGGGTGTTTTTTTTTTTTTTTTTTGTCATTGGTATTTTTCATTTCAACTGGAATAGTTAATGCATTTCTAGGCTTCAGAGGTGACGTGCTGAGCCTCTATGGCTGATTGTGGAAGTCACAGAGCTTATTAGAGCAGCGCCTGCTTCAGTCCCCACTCACCTCGTGTTCCTTGAAGCACTTCTGCTTTTGAAATGTAGCAAGAGCCCCACGGAACTCTTGCTACGTTTCAAAGGCTGAAGCACTGCAGCTGGAACATGCTTGCCCCGTGTTCCCCATGGTGGCTCTTCTACCTTTTTAATATAAGAGCCGTGGGTGGCTCTTACTACTATTTAAAAGGCTGAGATGTAGCAGGATAGTGAGGCCCCCACTTCCTCCTTACTGACTGACTAATCGACATTTAACATCCCTAGCATGTATGATCAGTCTAAGTTAAACTAATATTTTATTTTGTAGGGAAGCTTGAGATCCATACCCGTGTGCACACAGGTGAGAAGCCATTCGAGTGTGATATTTGTCATCAGCGGTATTCCACAAAATCTAACCTGACAGTTCACAGAAAAAAACACAATAATGAAACAGAATTTCATAAGAAGGAGCACAAATGTCCATACTGTAATAAATTGCATGCAAGCAAAAAGACCCTAGCAAAACATGTGAAGAGGTAAGTATGAGCGGGATTGTCTGTTACACTTCTGCATAATGTATTTTCCAGCCCCAAAGCTTGTATAGCACTTTGAAAATAGAAAAAGTTTTATATAGATGCAACATAATAGGGTACTGTGTCAACATAGCTTTCTGCTATAAATTTTAACTACAGCTTGAACCTCTCTAATCCAGAAACATCTGTCATCCAGAACGACTTTAGTTACCTGGATGTCCACTTTTGATGGTTGTGGCCAAGTTTCCCATGGTTCCATAAAGTTTGTTTAAAGGCAGCAGTTGTAGCTCCCAGTGTTTTGTGCTGTTATTTAGCTCTAATTTACCCCTAAATGTCCTTTAACAGCACAGTGAGTAGTGGAAGTATTGGTAATGCTGCTAGACAATATTGACCTCCCGTGGTCCAGAAAATTCTCTCATTTGGAACTGGTCAGGTCTTAAGGGTTCTGGACTAGAGAGGTTCAACCTGTAGTTCAAGAAAGCTACTTATTGAAGTTGTTGCTCTCAGCAATTATCACTCTCACTTAAGGAAGAATATGAGTTTTTGTGGCAAGGTATAGCTGATGATATCTGGAGTCCTTTTGCTTCCACGGTCCAGTTCAGTGTGTTTTTAGGGCTGGGCTTAATGCAGGGACAGCAGTGGTTTGGTGGCATAGGTGTATCTAGTGAATGAAGACAGACAAATGTGAATACAAAGTTTGGGATCTACTAGTGAACATTTAATTCGTTTAACAGTGAAGTATTTTTATTTACCTACAGGCCTTAGCAGGAGGGCCTGTGAGGTCTGGGAGGGAGTTTGAGTAAAGGAGGCAGTTGTGACCTGGGGCATGAGATTGGGATACAGGGGTTTGGGTTCTGACCTAAGGCAGGAGGCGGTTGTGACCTAGGGCAGGGGGCTGAGATACAGTAGGAGGTGCAGAGATTTGGGTAGTGCCAAAGGGCAAGGAATTGGGGTGCAAGATCTGAAGGCGGCATGGGCTTAGGAGAGGGGCAGAGGGTTTGGCTTATGTGGGGTAGGGGGACAGGAGTGGGGGGGGCAGAGGACTGAGGGGGAGAGGCAGGGACTCAGGTGCCAGAGGCAGGCTCGGGCCGGGAGACTTACCTGCTTGACTCCCAGACAGCTTCCTTTTCAAGCAGACCCCCTCTGCCTGTGCCATCCAACACCGCACTGCCTGCAGGGGCTATGTGGTTTTTGAATAGTCTTAGTGGAGGGGGGCAGGGTGATTTGCCAGCTGCCAGTTGACAACAGGCAGCTCCCATTGGCAGGAAACTGACCAATGGGATTGTGCGGGGAGTGGGATCAGTGCCTGAAGCCTCCCTGGAAGGCCGCAATGGTCATTTTTATCAGTAGAGTGCAGGGGGCAAGCATGGAGTCTGCCTGAGGCTCCCTGTTGCATCTATGGACTGGATCTGGAGGCTTCACAGGCCAGCCCAGCCCTGCATCCACTTTTCTGAGTGGGTGGAGAAAGCAGGGGAGACTGCCTGAGCTCCCTGTTACATCTGCATCCTGGATCTGGTGGCTTGGGGGGGTGGATTTGGCTCGTGGAAGGTGTTTTGCCCAGTCTTGTTTTAAGATAATCCGTAGTGTAATTTAGCCTATGAACTAACGTGGGGGTATTGCAGGATTCCTTAGTCCATTTTTTATATGCTAGGCCTTCAAGAATCCAGTGTCATCAGTATACTGTTGACAGCTTTATCTGTCTTTTTGTTGGATTGGAATGACATGATTTGATGGCTTTAGCACTGTACAGCTAAATGTGATGCCTGCAATTTAGATACAAATGGTAGTATTAGAAGGTTGTATTTATTTGTAGGGGAAAAGGGAATAATGTGAACTAGGTGTATCTGTAAATTATATTTCTAGTTTCATTTTTGGCAGATAAAAATATATTTGAAGGTATACCTATATTTACTTGATCTTAATTTACATCTGGGTGGGCAAAATACGACCCAGATCTGGCCTGCCAAACTGCCCAGTCTGGCCTATAGACTGCCCGATCTAGGATCCCTAGTCACAGAGCAGCTTCATGCTGTTTTAAGTGACTGACTGCTCCCTGTGTGTGTGTCAGCTCCAGGTGCTGAGAGGAGAGGGGAGGCTTCATGGAAACTGTCCAATGGGAGCTGAGAGATTTTGCTGTGGGTGGGGGCAGTGCATGAAACCTTCCCTCCTCCGGTGTGCAGAGAGCCTGCTTCAAGGTCCTGCAGGGCTGCTGGCTTGGAGCCCTCTAGATAAGCGCCTCTGAGCCACAGTCTGCCTCTGGAACCCTAGCCCCTCCATCTACCCAACACTCTGCCCCAGGCCACCATTCAAACCCTCAGCAACACATCTCTCCTCCTCCTCCAAGTCACAGCTCCCTCCCAGACCATGCACATGTTTCTATATCCCTTCCCCAGGCTAGAATCCTCTTCTGCCCTTATAATTCCTCCGACTGCATCCCAAGGACCCTGCCCCAGATCACAACCCCCTCCTTTGACCCAAACTCCCTCTCAGATGCCACACCCCATCTTGCACCCTCAGTCCCCGACCCCGAACTCCCTTCTGCACCCAACCTCCATCCCAGACCCTGTCCCTTCTCCATAGGAAAGTGCAGCCCTTATCAAAATCTTGGCGTGGTCCCCCCCAGTCAAAAATTGCCTATCCCTGATTTATATGGTTGAATGCATATAACTTCAGAATCTGTCATCTCAAGCAATACATATTTCATATGTTGCATATTTGAACAAAGGCTATGAGAAAAATATTTGTTAAAAATGTGGAGCTAAGTAGACTTTGAAATGACAAGAGAACAGCATGCTAACACTGCTTACTATGCTGACAGTTGTTAATATAAATAACAAAGTAGCTACGAAACTTGTATCTTAACATTATTCATTTTCACTGATCTTTCCTCCTAGGTTTCATCCAGAGAATGTACAAGAATTTCTTTCACTTAAAAAGACAAAAAGTGAAGGCTGGAAATGTGATGTAAGCATTACTTTGATTTTTTGCAAAAAATCATACAACTTGTTTAGGTTCTCTTCTCTCCCCCCCCCCCCCCCGGGGGGGGGGGGATTTTTTTAAAGTTTATACAGAAATTACTTGTTTAATGATTTAATGAAAATTTTATTTTCATTGCACTCTTCATCGTGATGTCTCAAACTGTAAAGGATCATATTTGTGTTGATCACGTGGATATAAATATTATATTTTAGTGTATGCATAAGGCTTTCTGCCAGTATAGAAAGTACCAGATGTCATTTTACAAAATAGCTGTGGCTATTTGTATATTTGCATATATCTTATTTAAATGGGAGTTTGAATATTGTAACTAGCAAAAAGACAAAAATAAAGCCAATGCTGAGAAATTAGTGGAATATTTTATTTTTAGAAAGGGGAATAAAGAGAAAATTGGGAAATTATAGACCAGTCAATTAAACTTCCTTTTGGATCGATCCTGGAACAAGTTGTTAGCCCAGTTTGCAAGCACCTAGAGCAGGCACCCTATTGAATAGTTAATAGTTGATGCAAAATGCATTGACTATTTGATTAGTCAATTACTTTCAATTTAACATCCCTTAAATCTAAGTCTGGGTCCCCCATGGCTTTGATATGCGAGGGGAATGTGGGGAGTCTTTGTCTTTCTCTACATCAGTGAGAAGTTTTTGGGTTTTTTTTTCTTCTTGTGTGTGTGTGTGGCCTGTGACTGATTTTTTTTTCCTGAGTCAGCAGCCCCCAACCCAAAAAATGTTCATCACCCCGACCTAGGATAAGAGGTCACAAGAATAGCCAGTCATTCCAGAAAAACCATACCAAGTCAACCTATTATAATGTTTGATAGGATTACTGACCTACTGGATAGGAGGAAATCTGTGGACATGATGTATCTTTATAGCCCTGCAGATTTGCAAATATCTACATATAATTTTTGCCGCTGCAGATACAAATTTTGTATCTGCGCAGGGCTCTATATCTTATTTTATTTTAGTAAGAGTTATGACACCATTTCAACTGATATTCATATGAACTAATGAAATGTTGGGTAGATGATGTTACCATAAGGAGGATACAAAACTAGTTGAAAGACTATACTCAGAATATTTATCATGATTGCCTGTCAAACAGGGAGACTGTATCTAGTGGAGTCCCACAGGGATTAGGAATGTAAATGGGTAATTAGATAATCGGCTACTCAGCAAGCATTTGCCCCTCCTACCTGTAACATGATGTGGTGAGCAGTTAACTGGTCAAACATATAGTTCAGCTTAGAAAAGAGGAGACTAAGGGTGGATATGATAGAGGTGTATAAAATTATGACTGGTGTGAAAAGTGAGCAAGGAAAAGTTTACTTATTCCCATAATATAAGAACTACAGGTCACCAAATGAAATTAACAAGCAGCAGGTTTAAAACAAACAAAAGGAAGTTTTTCTTTGCTGAGTGCACAGTCAACCTCTGGAACTCCTTTCCAGAAGATGTTGTGAAGACTAGGACTTTAACAGGATTCAAAAAAGAGCTAGACTGATTCATAGACATTAGGTCTATCAATGGCTATTAGCCAGGATGGGTAGGAATGGTCTTCCTAATCTTGATTTGTCTAGAAATAGATGACATGAGAGAGATCACGTGAGATTATCTGTTGTGTTCCCTCCCTCTGGGGCATCTGGTATTGGCCACTGTACATTGACAGTATACTAGGCTAGGTGGACCTTTGGTCTGATCCAGTATGGCCATTCTTATATTCTTATTAAACGGTTAAAATTTTAAACACAGTTATACATGCCTAGCAGGGATAAGTTTTTAGTCTGGTACTGTTCAGTATTTTTTATAAATTACTTGGCTATTGGAATAAAGAGTGTGCCTAAGCTTTGCACATGAAAGCAGGTTAGGAAGAGTTGCAAGAATTAAAATTAAAAATGACTGAGAAATTGGAGCATTGTTCTGAAATCTACAAGATGCAGAAGTTCAATAAAGACAAGTACAAAGTACTATTTTTAGGAAAGAAAAAAAACAAATGCACAACTGCAAAATGGGGAATAATTAGCTATGCAGCAGTACTCCTGAAAAGGAGTCAGAGCGGATAGTAAACTACAAGTTGAATGAGAGTCAAGAATGTGATGCAGTTTTAAAAAAGGCTAATATCTTTCCAGAGTGTCTTAACCGGAGTGTCCTATGTAAGACATACAAGGAAATTGTCCTGCTCAGTTCTGCATTGGTGAGACCTCTGCTGGAATACTGTGTCCAATTCTGAGCACCATACTTAAAGAAACATGTAGACAAATTAGAGAGCAACAAAAATGATAAAAGGTTTAAACAAATCTGATATATGAAGAAAGTTCTTTTTTTTTTTTTAAATGGGCATATTTAGTCTTGAGAAAAGAAGACTGAGGGGGACCAGATAAGTATCAGGGATGTAAAATCCTCTTTAATATGTTAAACATAACTGGCTAACAGCTTAAATAGGGGGCAGGTGGGCTGTAACACCTATGGCGTGCTGGAGTAGCCTCCTGCCCTGGCCACTGGTTAACTAACTGGTAAGCATTGCTTGGTAAGGGTGATGCTTACCATGTACCTATTTACATCCCTAATAAATAGTCAGATAAGTTAAGGGCTGGTTATAAAGAGTATAGTGATCAGTTGTTCTCCATGTCAACTGGAGGCAGGACAAGAAGAACTTCTCATTTGTTTTATCACAATCCAACACTCCATATGCTGCCCATAATATAAATTTTTGGATATCTGCAGGGGAAAACAAAAAATGTAATTTAATATGGATGAAATCCTCCCGCCAAATACTTTCTCATTAGGCTCTATACTGATACCAAATGAACAATAATCAGATGCCAGTATAGGCTTTGAGTGCCCTAAAAGATTGTTCAGACCTCACAAATCTAATTCTAGATATAAAATCATAGGTTCCTTTTTTAGGCCTAGTCGGTATCAATAAAGAGTCTTTTTGACAATAAAGTGACAATTAGTAAGAGGGTTTTGACTGTGACTTTTTCTCCCTCCACTTCACTGCTGTCTCTACTTCTCTAGTGTCAGTGGAATCAGATTTTTTAATTTTCAAGTTGTGTTTTTACAAGAGGTGCTATATTTTAAGCAATCAAAATATTTATGCCAACAACACAGTGGTTGTACCTATACTAACTCTAACTTATGTCCAAAAGTTCATATCATCGCAAGCCATAACATGTTATCTTGCTAAGGCTTTAAGCAAGTATAGGCTTGGCTAGTAGTTGGATGGGAGACTCCTAGATGCTATAAGAAGCAGAAGTGTTTTTTCTGTAGTTTTTGCTTTGAGTCTGTTATAACCCAGTGCATATCTTGGTGAGGGGCATTCTGTGAGAGGAGATATGTGATAGCTTTTAGATTAGATATACAGCTCTTTACAAATCCCATAGCAATAGCTAACTGTGAAACTTAAAAAAGAGAGCTTTGATTCTAATTGAAGCTGCTTGGAAAGCTTGATGAAGTAGATTTTATAAGTTCTATCTAAAAACCAAAAACCTTTGTGTTACTTAAAATTTCATTAACTTCTCTGTAGAGATGCACATTGGAAATAT